TAATTTCTCACGATCATAAATAGTAATAAATCGATTTCCACAATCTCTCTCTATGGCCTTTCGCCAATGTCTTTGGCAATCAGTGATTATCAATTCATTATACCGTTAAAAAATCCGATAAAAAAAATAATAAATTGACTGAGAAAGTCAAAAAACAGAAGGCTAAACACATTCGGGTCAGCTATATTAACATCTAAAAGATGATTTTTTGCCACAATTCGTAAGTTATCCTACTTGGTTCACAATATATTTTTTTTTTTTTTTCTTTCGCTATATAATAGATCATGATCATGATCATGATCATGAAGATATCCTCATAATAAGGTATAGTTGGGGGATAACGGTTCCAAATAAACCTTTTCTATGATGCGGGTGCCAATTAATCTATTGGTAACGGGGTGCCATTTATGATTTGTTTACGATTTGCAATGCAATTACAGTACGTAATATTCATGCATATGTGTGCATAATTTATAAAGTATCGTACGTACGTACGTATATATATTACAAACCAAACATTACATATATGGACATGTCCTTTGTTATATAATGTAATAATGTAATTTTAAAATAAGGCGTAATAGTAAATTTGATATAACAAGTAAAGGTTCTATGGTAATATCCATGAATCCTGTTAATGATCATCACGACAAGTTTTTTTGTACATACAGTACTATGTATTGTAAAGATTTTTCACGATTAACATAATTAGTAAAGACTCACATATAAATTTTACTTATGTACTATAGGAACATAATCCTTTGATACACTTTAATTCGGATTTCTGAACTCCAAAATAGTTTTATCAGCCCAAAAAACGAATTTAGGTTCTCTATCAATTCTTTGAATTTGATTAGTAATTATGTACTTCTATTCTTGGTTTATCATAATTAGATATTTCATAATGACTTACTGTATTAAGTAGTTGATTTATTCTACTAATTACAGTAAAACCTCGAAATAACAAGTATAGGCAATGTTGAATATTTAATTTGTGTGGAATATAAGTAACTCATCATATATAAAAGACGTGGTTTAAACATTATTATCAATTTTAGCTTTTTGAGACATACATTATGCCCTGTTACGCAGATACGATCATAAAAATTAAACATGCCAAACGTAATGAAAAAGAAGACGTGAAAGTACCTTCGGTATGGGCTCTTGTAACATACCCACCAGGTCATAATGATAAAGAAATTGAAGTGACTCTATTTTTGCCAATCAATCAAGATGAACGAGACCCAGAATTACAGGCAATTTTTAAAAGAGATGAATACTATTCAGTTGGAGGAAAAATCGTACCTGGATCCTATAATGGAAAAATTAAACCAAAAGTATTTGAATATAATCTATTTATATTATTTTAATTTCGTATATATGCATAAATTAATTTTATTGTTGAATTAATATTTAGATGACTGTTGCTGTTTCAACACACATAACAATTGTTGATAAGGTTCTAACCTCGAATAAATGCCCTCTGAAAACTTCTTTAATAGGAATTCCCCAAGAAATGCCAATTGAAATTAGAAACACTTATATCTGACTATGTTAGACAACCTTGCAGTTATAAGGTTAAGGTTGTCTTTCCACGTAATAATTCATGATTCAATCATCTCAAGACAACAATTCGCCTACAAGAATCTCTAATCTTCATAATTGGACAAATGGAAATAATCTCTGATGAATTTTATGTTTATGCTAATGATATTAATTACATTAATACTCATTTTGTCTCTAAAAACAAAGAACATATTAATGTTGAATTACCTTTGCCAAATCTTATACGATCCAAACTTCTAAATGTTCATCAAAATGCAACCAATAATTTTCAAGATAACTCAGATAATCTAAAACGTAAAAAATCCGAAGTTGATAACTCAGAAGATAATCCTTCAAAATGTAAAAAATCTGAAAAATTTGATGAATCGGATGATATTGAAATTAATAATGCCGATAATATTAGAGATCATCCTCAAAAAAATGGAAGAATCTGTTCAAGCAAATCAAGAATATGAGACCAATAATAAAACAAAAAAAGATTCTACCAAAAATAACAAACATCCAACTCGAGTTATGCATAGTTCAACTACGAACTCCAATAATGAATAGTCTATATTCATATTGCTTTATTTTATGTATCATTTACTTATTATAATAAATAAATATTTACATTTATAAATATATAAATTTTAATCTAATTTTGCAATTTTATGATATTTAATCTGATACTAAATTTAGACCATGTCATAAATAAAATATTTAATTATAATCACAAAAAAACTTTTATTAAGTTTATATAAAGTCATATGTTAAGCAGTGAATACTAAATAGTGCTTACATATAACTGTTCTGAATTTGGAAAACACAAATTTCTTTAGTGTAAATCAAGTATATGCATAATTAAATCAATATATGCGGTGGCTTTTTTAATAAAAATACTAATTTAGTTAGATGTTTAATAATTGTAATTCAGAATTGCAGAATTATGATCGTTAAAAATCTTAACGATCACAATTCAGCAATTGCAAAATTAATCATTAAGAATCTTAAAGATCATAATTTTGCAATTGCAGAATTAATTATTAACAATCTTAATGATCATAATTTAGAATTGCAGAATTATAATCGTTAAAAATCTTAATGATTAATTTTGCAATTGCTGAATTGTGATCATTAAAATTCTTAACGATCAAGTTTTTTTTTTTTTTTAAGGCAAAATTTTCACAAGAACAAATAAGAAGTTTTAAGTTGTTTAAAAAAGTTATTCTGGAAAGTGGCGTTACTAAGTTTACTACTTTGGTTCATTCTCATTTTAAAGATTCCAGAAATTTAGACAAGTGTAAAGAAGATCAACAAACATTGCTTAGTAAAAGCAATATAATTAAAGAGATGATTGAGTCATGTAACAGTATTATATATGTGGATAATTCACCAATACCAGTGATAGTGCAGGGAGATAATCAGCAAGATATAGAAAAAAGAACAAAGCAAATTTTTATAAATGAAAATAAAAGAAAAAAAGGGAGAGAAAAAGTGCTAAAACATTTAGAAGAAAAACATCAAGAACGTCAACAAAAGTACGAAGAAGAAGCTTATAAATTAAAAGAATAAGATAATATATATTCAATAGTGGCAAAACATCTCGAAGAGGAAAAAGAAATAGATAAAAAACCGAAAATGAAGTAATTGCAGAAATAAAAAGAAAACTTAATTCTGCAATTGTTAAAATGTGATTATTATGACTCTTAACAATTAATTTTGCAATTGTTGAATTGTGATAGTTAAGATTCTTAATGATTAATTCTGCAACTGCTGAATTATGTTCTTTAAAATTCTTAATAATTAATTCTAAATTGCTGAATTATTACAATTAAAATTCTTATATATTAATTCAGAATTGCAGAATTATGATCATTAAGAATCTTAACAATCACAATTCAGCAATTGTAAAATTAATTGTTAAGAATCTTAATGATCATAATTTAGCAATCGCGTAATTAATCACTGACAATCTTAATGATTATAATTCAGAATTGCAGAATTATGATCGTTAATAATCTTAACGATCACAATTTAGCAATTGCAAAATTAATCGTTAAGTATCTTAACAATTATAATTTTGCAATCGCAGAATTAATTGCTGACAATCTTAATGATCATAATTTATAATTGCAGAATTATGATTGTTAAAAATCTTAACGATTAATTTTGCAATTGCTGAATTGTTTCTTAAGATTCTTAATGATCATAATTCTGCAATTCTGAATTATGATCATTAAGATTGTCAGTGATTAATTACGCGATTGCTAAATTATGATCGTTAAGATTCTTAACGATTAATTTTGCAATTGCTGAATTGTGATCTTAAGATTCTTAACGATCATAATTCTGCAATTCTGAATTATGATTATTAAGAATCTTAATTAGTTTGATAATTGCTCTGTCTAGCCTTATATTGATCAGTTCTGAACCACAGTCCAGTCAATTTTTAAAAAACTGGCAGTCTTTAACCAAAACGAATTTATTAACAATCCTACATAATACTATTCTAATTATGAACAAAAAAATTTTCCAAATTTACTCTCTAATAATATATAATAAATTATACTTTTATTAATTTGATTTTTATTAAACTTCAATCACAATACAAAGATAAATAAATAAATAATTTTAACTAATTCTAAATTTTTTTATATATATTCTTATTTTAAAAACCTAATAAACATTCAAATTTTTAATCAAGCAAATTAAAATTTCTAAAGTCTGTATTAAATATACTCTATCAAATTCTGTTCATAATCCTTACTATCACGTGTTATATATCGAATTTTTATCACCATATATTGATATAATTTATTAATTGTAATATCAATTAAATATTTAATATATAATAAAGAATTAGCCAAATAATAATAAATCAAATGATAATCCAAAATTAGGGGTATTAAAAACTTGAATTAACTTGAAATATCTTCAAGAAATTAATCAAATATAACTTACTCAGTTCAATGATGATCTAATACAATAAATAACTTATTAGTATTAAATCTGAATTTATAAATATCATAATCATAAAAATCATACATTATATAATCTTATTAGTGTTAGATTTTCTTGATTCAGATAAATTCTTTCCATATTAAACTCAAAACTAAACTTGAAATGCTTGATTACAATAATTCACATAATAACAATATTTGTAACACAAACTTCTCTCACCAACTCAGAATCGATCTGCTCAATAAATATACTTATCCAACAAACTCTTATGATCATGAAAAGCTTTCTTTCTATTATTTTTTTTCACATGTATTACAATGTAATTATGTTTTTCCAATATTCAAAAAAAAAAAACTCAATGAGTAACTCCCTACCAATCATGATTGTAAATTATTAGATAACACTATTATTGGGCAAATTTGTGAATAACGGCAATTTGACTCAACTGGACAAATGATTGGCTGACAGGTACTGCTTGACAGCCAATATTATTTGTTCGGTTGAGCCAAATTGCCATTATTTACAAATTTTTGCCCAATAATGTATACTTACCGATTATATATACAATTTTTAAGCAGTTTATAATAATTCTAAAGATTTTATTTACTATATTAAATTCGCAATCCTTACTATCACATGTTATATATCGAATTTTAATCACCATATATTGATATAAATTATTAATCGTAATATAAATCACTAATCAACTAAATATTTAATATATAATAAAGAATTAACTAAATAATAATAAATCAAATAATAATCCAAAATTAGGGGTATTAAAAACTTGAATTAACTTGAAATATCTTTAAAAATTTAGTCAAACATAACTTACTCGGTCCAATGATGATTTAATACAATAAATAATTTATTAGTATTAAACCTGAATTTATGAATATCATAATCATGAAAATCATAATATGTACGTACATACGTCATACATTATATAACCTTATTAGTGTTAGATTTTCTTGATTCAGATAAATCCTTTCTATATTAAACTCAAAACTAAACTTGAAATACTCGATTACAATAATTAACATAATAACAATATTTGTAGCACAAACTTCTCTTACCGACTCAGAATCGATCTGCTCGATAAATATACTTACCGATCACATACAATTTTTAGTCAGTTTATAATAATTCTAAAGATTTTATTTACTAAATTAAAGATATCTCATAATCCAGTAATCAGAATTTAATTAAGCTTATACCATTTGATTCATTTTGTTGAGATGAATTCAATAGTATAAAAATTACTAAATTCTACCCACTGAATTATAAGATATCTTCTATCTTTTATAAAGTCTGTTTTTAATTAAATATCAGAATCATTTTATATTTATTTTAATAATTTTATGAGCTTTTCTTGCTCTTTGTTTTTTAACTTATTTAATTGGTAGTTTTTGAAAAATCAAAATAAAAAGTACTTTAACGCATATAAAAAATAAGAAAAATTTTTTATTCAATTATAATGATTATCTCCAAATTCAAATTACCCACTATACTATAATAATTATCGTTATTACTAATTATCATGCAAAGAAATTTTCTGTATTATATTACTATCTAATTATATTACCTAACTATTTATAACTATACTTAACATTCTTAATCATTTATATTAATGTTTTCTTTTATTTACTCATAATGTATTTAATTTCACAAAAATTAAATCGTTCTGTCATTTTACAATTTAAGTCAATTACAAATTGACCTAAATCACTTTTAAATTTTGAAATAAATGACGTAAATTATTTCTTAACCGCCAGGTTCTAATAAGAAAATATTAATTATATCTTAAATCCTTTTCATAAATAAATAAGCCATAAAAAATTTACACAAAATTATATATATAAAATTGATAAAAATGTAACATTTGCATAAATTACTGTTATATTAAAACTGAAATACTTCATAAAACTTAAATAAAAAAAAAACACGTATTATAAAAAAATAAAAATAAAGTACAATAAAGGCATATAAAAATTCGCATAGCTAAAAATTACATAAAACCTTATCGATTTTGCATTCACCATGTAGAACACATCTATCGCCATATATATAACAAGTTATTTTTTTGGTAAAAATCTAATATCTCATATGAATCTTTTTATATTATTAAAAAGAAAAGTAAGTATATTATAGGCTTAATTATATGAAGTTCTTTAGTCGGACCAACCCAATATTTAAATTTTGGGTTTTGTAAATTGTTTGAACATTAAACATTGATTACATTTATTTTGATCTGTTAAACTACATTTGTTTTCATTTGACGAATAAAATTTTTAATATTCGATCAAAGGTTTTTATTTATTTTTCTTTTAATATTAAATAAAATGGCATACGTAATGCATTTGTAATAAATAAATTGATAAGTGATAAATTAATAAGTGATTCTTAGTTCTTACAGTATTTTTATTAAATTTTAGATAAAGCTTTCTATTTGCTGTGCTGTATGACCAATTATCCTATGTGACAAATTTAGCACCATCGCATTAAGAATTAACCCAAGTCATTTCTAAATCGGTAAAAATTTAAGAATGACATAGGTCAATTCAAAATTGACCTAAATTGTGAAACAACGTCGAACACTACCAACCTACAACACATTCAAAAATTGCTAATATGCATAATATTTGTAATATATAAATTACAATACAATATATGAATACCATTAAAGAAAAGCTTACAATCGGACTTTCAAGTATATTTTGTATGCAATTAGTTATTCATGTGCTATCTATAGTAAATCTATCATCAGATATAAATTACCATAGTTAGTATACAAATAACTAACTGTATACAAAATATATTTGAAACCCCGATTGTAGGTTTTCCCTTAACAGTGCTTATATTAAAAATAGATAACTCAAAAATAAAAAATAAAAATATAAAACAAAAAATACAATACAAATAAAATAAAACTAAAAAAACTATAAAACTGTTATTTTATCTCTTTCTTTTAAAAACTATAAAATATATCTTAAAATTTTAAATTCAACAAAAAATACAAACCAAAAAATACAATACAAATAAAATAAAAATTATACATAACTAAAAAAACTAAAAAGCTGTTATTTTATCTTTTTCTCTTAACAGCTATAAAACATATCTTAAAATTTTAAATTCAATACAAAATATTACAGTATTTTTTTATTATATCATAGTTATATTTTAATAAAAATAAATACTACACATAATACTGCACAATCACAAAGAAGAAGACGTGAAAGAGCAACTCAACAACATAACATTGGTTTTATAAATATAGAATGTATTTATTGTAGTACTCTTCATTAGTTAGATGAACACTTAACAAGCTCTTCAATACAAAATCCTAAATTTGGAATGTGTTGCCTTCAAGGTAAAGTTATTCTTTCTCTTCTTAATAATCCACTACATTTTCTACAATATCTATTTGAGAATAATGATGATGAAGCTAAAGAATTTTGTGCAAATATTCGTCAATACAATGCTACACACGCATTTATATCACTTGGTGTTAAAATTGATAAAACAGTTTTAGATGGACATGGTTTATATTGTTTTCGTATTAATGGCAAATTATCTTATTTATCTGGCTCACTTCTTCCTACTGAAAATAC